TGAATTATCTTTGAGTAGAGGTGTTGCTGTGTTTTCCTAAGATGTTTTCTGCCGCGTACACTCCCTCCAGTAAGTGTACTTTTTGAGATAATTCCCCGTATGATAAATCAGAATTCTGTCGGTGAAATAATTATTTATCATTCTTCACAAGGAATGTTGCTTAAGCAGTATTTCATGTGCTTGTTCTTCCTGAAATCACTTCCGTAGCAGCATTGACGACAAGTTTGATGGCTTTAAGAATGGCCGTTATATTAGCTTTAGTTAACAGAGAACAGTGACTCAATTGCTGGTGCTATCCTCCTGTGGATAATGCATTGAAGAATCTTGTCAGCTGTATCAGCAAGCAAAGAGATGAGGGTTCACCCGGTGAATTGGACGTTATCTCCGTATAGGGGATAACTTTCCTCTGTGAAGCATAGGACTGTTCGTCGATTAATTTTTCACCAAGCTGGGGCAATGCTGGCTGCCTACGTTGCTGTAGTGCTAGCATTTGACATCTCCAATTTTTGACCACTCACAATGACTTCAGAGAAACTAAAACTCGACAGACAGAGATGAAGTATGATCACAATAAAACATCAAAACAGATATTTCAAGTCCTAATGATAACATTCAAGTACCAAACATTGATTGTTTTTCTATAACAAACGAGAAATCACCTTCCTCGCAACAAAAAACAATGAACTAACACGGCAGCTAAAATAAAAGCTACTACCCACGTGTTTTTCTACCTCGTCCTCTGCTCAGCTGATAATTCTAAACATGAATAGGGATTTTTTATTTTTGTTACGTCCTTCGAAAAATACTATTTCAAGGAAATAAACGATGAACCTTCATGCTTAATGCTATTTAATATAGTCGGATAATAATTTCGATTCCAAAAAATAATGAGCAGTCTAAAGATCAGAGGACTCGGGTACATTTAGTTCTTATAACTTTCGATTATAATTCATAACGAAAATCAAATTCATCATCAGTCGTTGTCAATTAAATTCCTGATTAGTCATAATAACTTAAATGAAAATAAAATGAGTGATTAATTTTAATATGCGGCTTCAACAAATCATTTGATCCCATTTAATGCACATCACCATGAAAATTAATTTGAAATTTCATTCATTTCAAAGGAAAGCATTCCCACTTGCTTTTTCCGACTTGCATTTCAGTGGAATTGAAAAGATTGCAAAACTCTTTGATCTGCCAATTACGATGTACAAACGACCACCCTTCAGTATCGGTAATCTGATTTTTCATTAATGGCCGGAAAAAACATGCAAAATGCCCTGCCTCCTGCGTTATCATAAACTTCTCACGATTAGTGCTTATTTTCTAACTTTTTCTTACTCTACCCTATAATTACAATGGCATAATCTCGCTAATTTTCGAAACGCCTAGGAATAATTCCTCATTAGTCAGCTCGAACCGCTAAATTCAAATTCGGCACACGGAGTGCGCAGTACATCTCGTACATTATAAAACTCGCCTACCGTCGCACTCCAAAAAATGGTCTAATTTTTAAAGAACTAATTACATCTAACTGACCAATAATTATCTAATAATCTCCAGCTACAGTATAAGAATTCGTATAAACTTTGTTAACGATTTAAATATAAAGATGCTTTTACCAAGTTATTAGGGATAGAGTCAGAAAATGATGTATTTCAAACAAGTTCAGAATATTGAGTCGTTCGATATCAAAGCGGATATTAAGAGGGTCAAGTGAGAGAGCCCACTCTTTTAAAAGTTTTATAAATGTCACAGATTTTCCAGAGATGAGCGCCACCCGGCTTATGTATCATTAATTCCATCTCTCCAAGCAGAATTTTCACTTGCTGTTAATATCAGATAGTACTGCTGTACTGTGTTATAACATCCACCATATGGTTCAACTCATTGTTAACGAAGCTAGTTGTCGATTTCTCAAATTCTATAGTCATTATATAGATTATTTCCATGACAGAATAGATTTTCCATTGTTACAAAGAGGCATAATGGATAAGCGTACAGAGTTAGTCGGTATCAAATAATTTTTGCAGGCGAGATCCAAACTTGAATTCTTTGAAAATAGACCAGTTACCCAATGTACTATTTTTCTTATTTCGTATACTTTTTCGGGCTTTTAGGATTTGTTCCCTTCCCAACCCCAACCCCCTTACCGCATGTGCCGAAAGGGAGGGAAAAAACTCATTGGAGGAAAAACCCTGACCTGGTGCAATCGTCCTATTGCCCTTTTGACGGGACTACCACTCGGCAGTGAAACTATGAGATTAGAGTGCTATAAATTTTGACGGCCAGAGCCCAGGATCAAACCCGGATCATTGGCATACGAGTCTAGCACTTCAACCGCACGACCACTACCGTTGGTCTACGATTAATAATATTTCTCAACCAGAAAAAAATGCAGATTATCAACGAATAAAAAATCAAAGCCAGTGGCACTGCCTTAATTATAAAAACTGATTGTGATCAGAATAATATGCCAATTAAAATTTGTGGTGCTTGATGGTATGACCAATGTGGTTTTTACCTACCCACCCCAGTACCGACGCGGTACTCCAGTCTAATTCCCTATCCGCACTTGTTTCTAAGCTAACTTATACTTAACTCCACATGCACTAGACTCATTTTCCGGCGATCAACAAAACTTTCATCACCCGGTCTCGAACCTGCGTTACTAGAACGCCTTGGTCATAGGGCCAGCACACTGACGACTACCCCAAAGACGTCGGTCGTAACATCTTAATTATTAATACCCAATCTATAGTTACTAATGAAAACAATTTGAATAAAATAATGGAGCCGTCTATCGATGGTTGAAGTCTCATTTATTTAAATTGATAAAGCAACAGAAGCCCGGAATATTCCAAACATCGAAATGTTATTTTACCAATGTAATCTTGGTGAATTGATTTTAAAATGCGTACCTAATGAAATTTCCAGTGGTGATGACAAAATCCCTGCAATAATATCCAGAGACTTGCTTGAAAAAATTATACTTGATTTAATAAAAATATTTAACAATACAGTAAGTAACTTTCATTTTCCAAATTAGTGCAAAGCTACTATCGTTGTGTCTATCCATAAAAAGGATAAACCATTGCCATGACCAGTCTGTGTTCATTCAATTAGTATAACATCAACAATTACTAAAATTCCTGAAGTAATAATTACTAATTCTATATTCGTTATATCTTATGAAAAACTAAATAACATCATACTTGATAGGTAATTCCGCAATAATCACTCAACGTTACACGTAGTAAACAAATTATTGTCAAATACTAATGAAAATAACTATTAAGAAGAAAATGGTTGGAACAATTCGTCTCAATTTGAAAAAGCATTCGACTCAGTCTGGTTAAATGGTTTAGTATTCATAATTTTTAAAAACAATTGTCCAATTCTCTCAATACCAACAATTGGGAATATGATTCAAGATAAAAAATTTAAAATGATTAAACTTAATAAAAATTTGAGTGCAATATTTATCATTACAGAAGGATTACACCAAGGGACAACTAACATTCCCTATCTGTTCTCCATTTTCAACTCACACCTGACCGAGTTAAACACCAATAACAATACTCATTTTTTAGCGTACGCAGTTGATCGAATTATCTAGGTGGTGACTTATAATGCTTTCCTCAACCGATATCACTTTCTGATGATATTTAGTGTCTAGACTCGCGTTCGACGGCTTCTGAAAGGTTCAAAATGCCAATGCCCCAAGTCGGACTCGAACCCACAAATTTTCGGGGTTCTGCCGTCCGACCGAGCGATTTAACCACTTCGGCCAACTTCGTCGGTTATCTTTGATTCCACTCTTCAATCTAAAAAAGTACAGAAGCGCCATGTTATATTACTTTTTTTTAAAGACTAGTTTTCAAGTAAGTAAATGATGAATATACTGAAGGGTCATCAAGAAAAACTATATTTTGCAAAACAGATTGAAAGGGCATACACTAAGAGAAAAACAATTTTTGCCAGTTTTCCAAAAAAAAGCAATGTATTTTCATAAAAATCCTCTTTCTCTAGGTGTTCATAATGATAATCATATTACTCTAGAGGAAGGCTATCTTGGTTATGACCTCAAATAAACTCAATCAATAATTCGCAATATTAAAGAATTTCCTCAAGAACATATCCCACATAATCACCGTCTCAAACAATCTGATGATTATCGTCGAAATCTAATTGAGATCACAAGGAAATAACTGAATTGAAGGAATAGTATTTTGAAAAAATACGTACTACTGTCAAGTTACTGAATCCTTAGTAAAAATATTTTTTTAGTTTGGTACTTGTTGAAGAGGAATACTTCTGCGTCCGTTGACGTTTAGAAGGACTTTTCACGCGGTGATAAATTTCATGAGGGTGTACACGTATTTGTAGCTTAGGAGGTAATTTGTCGGCAATTAATCGATATTGCTGTTAACCAAGTACGGTTTCATGGTGTTGTCATGGATCTCAAATTCTGTAGTGGCTATTACCGCCACAAAGGTGGCAGGAGTAGAGGGATTAACTTGAGTATTTCGATGAGACTCTTTGAAGCTGTTTAATTTGCTTGTATTTTGTGAGTGGCTGAGAGTGTTAATGAGCTTGGTTTTGTTTGCCTTCGGTTTTCAACCAAAATCTTTGGCTCCTCCGGATAATTATATCCTTGTTATTGTTACGGGCTAAGTTTCCAAGTCTTACCAACTCAATTCGAGTGGTGATACCTGTTTTGATATAAAATAGATTAAAGAGTGGCTTATGATTCACAAGTTCTTAATACGTGATCGGACGCACGTTACAGCGTGCTATAATTATAAAAATTATAGTTGAAAGTTTCAAAATTAGATGAGTTTTCAATTGAAAAACAGCCTTGCAATACTTGACTAGTCTGCGAGTTCAACCTGCTAGTCGTTTTCAGAATAGGAACGTTTTGAGATTTATAGCTCTGTATATTCTGTTCATTATAACATGGAGATAATGATTTTATATCTTTCGAATGATTTCAGGCGGTTTCAGAAAGGTTGGAATTAGCCCCGGCAGGTGGGAGATCTGAACCTCAGGTATTATAGAATATTTCACAATTTATATGAAGTGTTCGTGTCTCAGATCGATGATGGGCTAATGCTCTAATTATAGGTTGCAACTCTGTGTGAAGCTAGTGAAGTTTACATGGCACAGCATATGGGAGAACAGGGGCGATGGGTCTCATCGACCGACCAGAAAAGTTGTATGTCAGACAAACTTCAAATTCTCGAGTACTGCAAGAAGGTGAGTGTCATTACAGAATTGAGATACTATATATAAGTTTCTTTTACGTTTTCATCAATTGGTCGTGTTCGATTCCTGCAGGAATAGTCTAT